CAGGAGGATATCCTGGCGGTAGACCTGGGAGTCCAGGAAGTCCAGGAGGTTATCCCGGTGGGGGACCACAAGGACCAGGAGGTCCTGGAGGACCAGGAGGACCAGGAGGATATCCTGGCGGTAGACCTGGCGGACCAGGAGGTACTGGAGGTTATCCCGGCGGAGGTCTACAAGGCCCAGGTGGCCCAAGTGGACCAGGTGGTCCTGAAGGCCCACAAGTTCCGGGAGGACCTGGAGGTCCTGGTGGTCCTGGGATTCCAGGTGGTTTTCCCGGCGTAGGTCCAAGTCCAGGTGGAAATGAAGAGCCGTACGACGAAGGTGATTACTCTGCTATACCTGGCGAGCCCGGTCGTGATTATCCTATATATTCTGAAGTTCCCGAAACAAGTTTCCGTTGTGAAGATCAACAATTTCCTGGGTATTATGCAGATGTTGAAGCTCAGTGCCAAGTCTTCCATATTTGTGCCAATAATAAAACATATGACTTCCTTTGTCCGAATGGAACTATTTTCCATCAACAATATTTTGTCTGTGTTTGGTGGAACCAATTCGACTGTAGCACTGCTCCGAATTTCTACTATTTGAACGAAAATATTTATGACTACAATATAATGGGAGGTCCTGAAATGTTTCCTGGTGGTCCTGGAGGCCCTGGAGGTTTTCCGGGCGGCTTCCCTGGCGGTGGACCTGGAGGACCTGGAGGTCCAGGAGGCTATCCGGGCGGTAAGCCTGGAGGACCAGGAGGACCAGGAGGACAAGGTGGGCCAGGAGGACCTGGTGGATATCCTGGTGGTGGACCTGGAGGACCAGGAGGACCTGGTGGATATCCTGGTGGTGCACCTGGAGGACCAGGCGGACCAGGAGGACCAAATGGTCCAGGAGGCTACCCTGGAGGGGGACCTGGAGGACCTGGTGGTCCAGGAGGGTATCCAGGCGGTAAGCCAGGAGGACCAGGAGGACCAAGTGGTCCGGGAGGCTACCCTGGCGGTGGACCTGGAGGTCCAGGAGGCTATCCAGGCGGTAAACCAGGAGGACCAGGAGGACCAGGAGGACCAGGAGGACCTGGAGGACCAGGAGGCTATCCAGGCGGTAAACCAGGAGGACCGGGAGGATCAGGGGGACCGGGAGGCCCAAGCGGTCCGGGAGGTTACCCTGGCGGTAAACCAGGAGGACCAGGAGGACCAGGAGGCCCAAGTGGTCCGGGAGGCTATCCTGGTGGTGGACCTGGAGGTCCTGGGGGCTATCCAGGTAAGCCAGGAGGACCAGGAGGACCAGGTGGGCCAGGAGGTTCAGGAAGTCCAGGAGGCTATCCAGGTGGTAAACCAGGGGGACTGGGAGGACCAGGAGGACCTGGAGGCCCAAGTGGTCCGGGAGGTTACCCTGGCGGACCTGGAGGTCCAGGAGGCTATCCCGGAGGAGGACAACATGGTCCAGGTAGTCCAGGTGGACCAGGAGGTCCAGGAAGTCCAGGAGGCTATCCAGGTGGTAAACCAGGAGGACCTGGAGGCCCAAGTGGTCCGGGAGGTTACCCTGGCGGACCTGGAGGACCAGGAGGACCAGGAGGTCCAGGAGCCTATCCAGGCGTTAAACCAGGTGGACCGGGAGGACCAGGAGGACCTGAAGGCCCAAGTGGTCCGGGAGGTTACCCTGGCGGACCTGGAGGTCCAGGAGGCTATCCCGGAGGAGGACCACATGGTCCTGGTAGTCCAGGTGGACCAGGAGGATCAGGAGGACCAGGAGGATCAGGAGGGCCCGGAGCCTATCCAGGCGTTAAACCAGGTGGACCGGGAGGACAAGGAGGACCTGGAGGTCCAAGTGGTCCAGGAGGTTACCCTGGCGGACCTGGAGGTCCAGGAGGCTATCCTGGTGGAGGACCACATGGTCCTGGTAGTCCAGGAGGGCCTGGTGGACAAAATGGAAAACCTGGTGGATATCCAGGTGGTCCAGCATACTTAGCACCTAATGAACCTCAAGGACCAAGTGGTCCTGGTGGTCCAGGCGGTCATGGAGGTCCGGGAGGACCAGGATATAGACCAGGTGGGCCATCCTTTCCCAGTGGACCATCAGGCCCATCGAGACCTGGTGGTTTTCCTGACGATAAACCGTCCTCAGGAGGAACGCCATTCCCGCCTCAAGGGCCTTCAAAACCAGATCGCGAATACTTGCCACCTCGAGTCGGTTAATCTTATGAATTTTTTAACTGCGTTATTTTAGAATTTAACGCCTAACAATCGCCGTTGGTGATACTTGAACCATATTGTAAATACAAGCCTTCTTACTTTTTAGCTAAGTTAAGTAATATGGTATTCATTTCGATGGATATTTCTTTCGTCGTTCAGGTTTCCTTAATGTAATTTTTAATGTTACCATTAAGTAAGTCTATTTTTTACTTTCTTGTACGAGTTGTATAAATAATTTCTTCGAATTTTTTTTACATATTTCGCTTTTTTTCTGCAAAATAAGTTTTAATAGATCGCTGAATCAATTTTTCGTTTTGTTGTATAATGCAAAAAATTGAATATAGGAAAATAATACTTGAAGAGAGTAAAAGTTAATATTATTTTGTATATATCTACTCAAATGGAAGTATTTTATATTTAAAAAATATTTAGTAAAAAAAGAATAATTATAATGTTATTACAGATATTTTCAAATTCATCTACTCGTAACAGAAAGTTAGTAGCAGTATAACTCGTAGAATTAGACAAAATTAAGCTCGATTAGAGAGAACAGTAACGAAAAGATCGTTGGAACGTATCTCGCAAGGTATTATCACACGATATATATTTATTTATTTCGATATTAATATGTAATATCGATATATTATTAAATCGACTCCCATATCATTAAGAAACAAAATCAATAGAGGCAATTATTCGGATCTTTAATATCTAATTCTCTTCTGTTTTTGATAAAATGAAGGAGACACACGTTAAACAAAGATCCGAATAATATTCTCCGATCAGTATCATCCTTATTTGTGTTTCAAGTTATGAGATTTAACGTAATTATAGTATAATTTTCTACTTTTTATATTATACACTTTCATATTATATACACATCCATATGCGTAATTTTATAAAGATGGTTCGAGACTCCTACGTGGGATGCCATTATGTATAGTTTAATATGTGAAATAAAGGAAACGCCTTTGCAAGAATCATTCATTCCTTTTTCTTTAATTGTAATATTACTTTCGTTTATAATAAATAATATAATATATGATAGAATATAATTCTTAACAACTTTTATATGGATCAGTAGTCTGAATCTTACTGAGATTTTGAATGGACTACCAGTACCTATATATATCCATTAGAAACGAAAGATTTTATATATTATTATAATATAATTAAATTATATTAATTATATTATATGAAATTATATTTTGAAAGATTACATTTTTGTTTGCAAGTCCATTTGCATCTATCTTTTTCCATTTTCTACATTCGATGTTTCTCATTTTCATTCTATTATAAATGTACGTAGTAACAGAAAGTCGCTAATGCAAATGAGAGGGAGTTACATAAATTCAGGGATACTGTACGAGCACCTACGAATGCCATGATGACACGTCCATACGTGGTCACGTAAATTTTACAAACGAGAATTCTCTTGCGACCCTTCATCGTCCGGTATAACACTGCTACTACAATTTCGCGGTCTCTCTTGGGAACCACATGGAGACCCCAGTACATAAACTCTGGTATTATTCCAACGTTTTTCTTTATTTCTTTTTCTGTACTACCAGCTTTTGTTCTCTCCTAAATATATATTTCTACCTACGCTTCATTGTTAATCCTATACGAAACAAATGATAATTTAGTAAAAAGCAAATAAATACAAAATAAATCATTGAAATCATCAAACAATTCTATTTTCCTTTTTATTTTATTTATTATTTTACTGACTTGCGATTATTAATAAAAAAAAATATAAATAATAAAATATCGACGATAACGTAAAGATAATTTCTAAATTTGTTAATATTAAATCAATCGATGATATTTTTTCTCTTTGTAAAGTATATGAGTCACTTTCAAGGTAAAAATCGATTAGTCGTAAGAAAATTAATTATTGAACTTTTAAGATTAATTAGGAAAGAAATATTTAAAGTTCTATTTTTGTAATGAAGTGAATAGTAGGATTGGCTATAAAGTTTCGTTTAAAGAGTTAACTATTAGAATGCGGTCAGTGCATTCACAAAGTGTCACGTTAATTCCGTAAATGCAGAAATCGTTTTCGATTTCAATCGGGGTGAAACGTGCGAAACGGAGCAGCAGCAGCAGTAGCAGCAGCAGAGGCAGCAGAAGCAGCTGAAGTAGTAGCATCCTTGCGAATCTCGATTTATCTCGGTGACCATTCTCGCACTTATTGCTCAATGCTCGCTCGTTCCAAAGCGATGCGCATCGATGAGAATGCTTAGGGTACCAATACGAGTACATTTATACGCGTGTGCATCTGTATACGTCTATATACACGTACAGATACGTACATACAATTTACGATTTCGAGAAAAATACGAGAGTGAGAGAGAAAGAGAGAGAGAGAGAGAGAGAGAAAGAGGGAGAGAAAGAACTTGGTTGGGGCCTGTTGTACGCGTGGAATAACGAAAGGATCGTCGATATATCGGAAAAGGGAACTCGAGGCAGAAGGTTGGTTCGTGATGCATCTTCGTGGCCACTGGGGAATCCTTCGAGGAAAGTTATTTTTTTCTTTTTTTTTCTTTCTATTTATTTTTTTTTATCCAACTGTCTGTGCGCTAAGAAATAACAAATATTTTTCTTTCCTCCATTTCTTTTTTTTTCACTTTTTCTTTACGCGAATGAAATAGATTTCATTCATGGATTATTCCAATGCTTTCTGATTTAAATAATCCATTTATATTCGTATTGTTATCAATTTAATTGTTTATTTGGAAATATTATTAATTCAATATATATATATCGATGACTATTAATGCAATAGTATTTAATTTTAATGAAGAATGTAGTAACATTAACTGGAAATTTCTTAAAATGAAGAACAGAAGATAATTAATTTTCAATCAATCATGTTGCGTTACTTACACTCATTGTTGGATACATTTATTCTTTGATTACAATAATTTAAACTTCATATTTCAAGTTTGACAATAAAAATTTGATATTGAATCCTTTCGTTAGAACGTGTTACGAGTTATAAATGTCAATGTAATTAAGATCCCTGATGTACGATCTAATCCAATAAACTTTGTGCCAAATATAGATCGTCCTTATAGATCATGAAAAAGATCGAGAGACAGGTGCGTAAAAAGAGCCACCTAATGGTTTAAAAAGAAGGACACGACTGTCAGTGTACTTGATATATTGTTCAATTTGTTACTTTGTCATTGAGCATTCGTGTAAAAGGATAGCGATAATACTAAATCGATTGGTACAGTAAAAATCAGATAAATAAAGAATACAGATCTATTAAAAAGCGAGTCTCTCAAGTGATTACAAACATCAATGTTTCTTTATTCGATTGCTGCTGCTACTGCTACTTCGTTTCTCCCTGAGATGAAATAACGAATAACGAAGATAAATAGATAAATGGATGGATAAGAGATAGATCGATTTTTCAAGAATGTATTTTTATTGCTTATCTCATTTCATCGCAACAATTAATTTTATTATATTTTATATAGCTTTTAGCTATCTTCGCAATTTTTTTTTAATAACAATCTCACAGTGATCTCATCGAAAAGGTTTAGTTTTCGTAATATTATTTAACAACCGAAGAAAAACATATTGTATCAGACTTCGATCCAGTAATATAAAAGGATTTATGTATTCCAATTTGTTGAGATGGTGAGATAGAGAAGGATAAAGATACATTCGTAATTTAATCACGTTGCTTAATCGGTCAGCGCCTTAAAGAAAGGAAGACGTCAAGCAAATGTAAAAGAAGATAGAACTGGTCGTAAATGTATTTCACATTGGACGGCAGTCTTCATAATTAGAGAGCTTGAAAATTACGCGTAAGTGATCGTTAATGCCTCTTCGTTAGCAGTACTCGAACGAAAGTCCCATTTCGCAAATAATACGTTTAATAGGTTGCAATATGCTTTACCAACCAGGCATTCAGATTATCTTTAAAATCCTTTGAACTTTTCTTATGACTATTTCAAGAACCCATGTCATCCAATATTATCCTACATTCTATTTTACAGAAAAATAATTCTAATCACTTATATAAATGACTATTTAATTAACCGTAATATTATTTATAATTTATTATATATTTTTTTTTTCTATTTTGAAATTAAAATTGACAACATTTTTATTTCGATTATAATAATTAAAATGTTAGGAGAAGAATCTAAAAAAATTGTGCACACACAAATATATATATATAGTAATTGGTATTGTACTAACAAAGGAAGAACCAAGAAATCAATTTTTTTTAAATTCTACCAGATGTAAGGGTCTATTAGAATCAGACATTGTGCAAGCTGTGTTAAGTGGAACAATAAATCTTTTACAGTTTAATTAAAAAAAAGGAAATTATTACAAAAATATACATGGGTAGGGTGTAAAGTTCAGAGCTTAATAAATAACGATAGGTTGAAATGTTTTGAGCCTAACATGGAACGGACAACTATAAAAAGCTTTAAAAAATAAAATTTTAAATTAAACAATTTAATTTTCCTATCTGATACGAATTGATACATAGAAATGCACGTGGAAACAAAATCTCTTCGTTTTCTTTGAAACGTTTAAATATTAGATTAATTATTGCTTGCACGGTGTGTAAGATCCTGTCAACTTGATTTTTTCTTTTTTGTAATCAATTATTAATAATATCAATTAAAATAAAATTATTAAACATAAATCAATTATATTTTCTTTTATCGAGAAAGTGGAAACTAATATGAATGTAAAGAAACGCCAGTATTATGCTAAAGGATAAATTGTCGGTAAGAGAAGATAAAAAAAAAAAAGAAAAAAAAGAAGAAAGAAAATAAAAAAAGATTTTATCGAAAGATCGAGAAAATACAGGACGTAGACGAGTTGTCTGGGACGATCGGAGAAGGCGAATGACGCGTCCGTGCCACGATCTTGTGTCCTTGCTAGCCTAACGTCCCTGACAATGACGGCTAGTGACCCCTCTAACCGGTTATTTGCTACGTCGTAACTCACTTTATTGCACGCGTCTATCGCAAACGCTCTCCATTCTCAAGGTCAATCAAGTACACATAACAACGTATAAATATATACGTCATTCTTAACAGAGATTTTAGATCAATATCTGAACTAATTATGACTGATTACTCGTACCATATTGACATCTTGTTTATTTTTTAATTAAGAACTTC